TTTTAAATAATTAATTTGATACTAATATTGATATATTTTTTGCAAATTTTATATGAAATTTTCAAATTTATATTTTTTCAAAAATAAAAACATTATCATTTTCTCAAAATCACATAAAATAGTATTATATCGACATGGATAAAAAATAAAACGGAATATTAAAATGGAAATGTGTCTCGATGCATTGCACGAGTACCCTTCTAGTATAGTATAGATGTAATTTCTTTAATTTATTTTTTTATTATAATTTAATTTAAATTTAATAATGAAATAATTTATTTTTAGTTTAATAATATAACATTTTATAAAGTTAATAATTAAGTATTCTGTTATAACTCAACAATTATTCTAATTATATTTTATATATTTTATATTTAAAATGAGATGTTTATCTTGTATTTGATTATGTCTAGCTGCAGAGTTATACGAATTCAGATATGGATCTTTAATAAGTTATATTTATGCACAATCTACTTGTAATATTGAGTTTTAAGCAATATGCATTAATAAATAGTACTTTATGCATAAAAAAAGATTTTTAAGAGTTTTTATTAAATGTTTTATAATATAGTATAGATATTTGCAAATCCCTGTTGATTTGTTAATAATAACCCAAATCAAACCTAGATTATTTATTAATTAACATTTAAAATGATTTATGCAAGAAATATTATCATGATCGTATACAAACTACAACAAAACTGGGTTTATAGGACGTCCCCAATCTCTAAGCGTTCCAATAGAATGATTTATAGGACCAAAATATAAAACGTCCTATAAACTCAATTTTTTTATAGGACAGTTTTTCAAATAATGTCCTATAAAATTTCTAATGAGACGTTTTATATTAAAATTGTCCTAAAAAACTTATTATGATGTCAAAAAAACGTTCTATAAACTTATTACAACGCCTTTAGATTGGACACTTTATTTTTTGGTCCTATAAACTAGGTCCTATAAACTAAGTCCTATAAAGAGGTCTATTAAAACGCTTAGAAATTGAGAGTGTCTTATAAACCCGATTTTATTGTAGTGACATCAAGCATCCGTAGGTGTGATAACCGGTTTATCGGTTATAAAGTTTGAGATTGTTTTTTATTAATGGTGGTAAGTTGATGGATTTGATATGAATATGTGCTTAAATTATACTTTTAAAACCCACCACCGCCTTATTCATATTATTTATGTTTGTTATTTGAGATATTTTTATTTATCTCRTTRGGATGKTAAAAAGTAAGTAAGAAAGTTAAAGAGTTTTGTGTRTGTGTGTGTTTTGAGCCCGAGAAACCGAAACTGAAAGAGGGAGAAAGAAGAAGTTGATTATGTGATTATTAATTTGAATGTTTGTCGATCTTCATTCTCTGAGAATYGAGGTGAGTATTAATTTAAAAACTTTCATCTTGCAATGGTTAAACAGAGCCGTATGGTTCTGTACGTGGGAAAATTTTGAAAATATTATTATGCTATTGTTAGCATAATTTCGTATTTTAATATGTTAATATCAAATGACTGGAATAAAGGTGACATAATCATGAGAGGTGTATTTTAGGATAAGAATGACATAATTAGGAGATGTGTATTTTGGGATAAATGTGACATAATCAGGAAGGATGTATTTTAGGATAAAAGTGACATAATCAAAAGAGAACTTGAAGTCCTTAAGAAAAGACATTTTGATGAGAGTGACACTGAGTCATCAGAACCGGTACATAAGCTTTCAACTCAAGAATCGTTCAAAATTCAGTATTTTGTGTACATAGTTCATCAAGCTATCAGTTCATTGGAGCAAAGGTTTGAGCAATATAAACAATATACAAAGAAGTCTTTGGCTTTTTATTTACAACAGAAAACTTGAAGTCCATGAATAGCGAAGACTTGAAGGCAACCTGCAACAATCTTGAAAAAAGGTTACAAAATGGCCACATCTTAGACATTGATGGTGATGGTTTATTTAATGAACTGGAACTATTACAAAAACATTTATCAACTGAAGACAATGCATCTAGTGCAATACTAATTTTTTTTAAAAGGGTAAACACGTATTCGGTTTCGTGTCGTGCACATAGAATTTTGTTGACCTCAGACGAAAGAAGCTTTTCAAAACTAAATCTTTCGGAATCTTATTTGGGATCGACTATGTCTCAAGAGAGATTAAATGCTTTCAATTTGCTTTAGTTTAGATTGACATGAGTTCCTTGTAAATCTTGATTATGAAAGTATCGTAGATGATTTTGCTCCCAAAACTGCTAGGAGATCCATGTTCAAAAAATTGTAATGTCTAGCTGTTTGTCTTCATCTGAAAAAAATGTATGCAGTAGTACAAATTTATTATTGAAGAAATAAGGACCACTCTGTTCACTTATGAATAACGATTCATCTTAATATCATACAGACAACTAAATGAAAAATCAATCGAACATCCTCACTTTTATCTAGTGCTTTATAGTGAAAAGWATTAACGTTACTCACATGAATACCAAGTATTTCGCCTTTTCTTTCAACTATTAAGGTACAGAAACATCACTCTCACCTTGTTATCCGAACAAACTTTAAATAAGTAACAACGCACTCAAAAAGCTTTCGTTGCTTTTACACGAAACTCCAATCAGTTATCGAATTAATCGTTAACAGGACAAAACAAATACGAGTAAAGTAATTAATTAAATTATTGATGGATGGACCATGTAGATGACCAAACAACATAATTTAATGCTACAATCCAACAACAATTGCTACTAAAATAACAAAATAGTTTATTTAAGTATCAACTGTTTTGTGGTGGTATTTAATTTAATATAACAATTTAGGTTATTAAACCTTTTAGTTTTGAAATTTTACCATTTTACGTATTCGAATTGATCTTTTAATCATTTCTCTTCTCTAAATGTCACTATTTTCGGAATATCCAAAAGACAAAAAAAAAGAGCAAATTCAACCAGTTTACCGTCACAAATTGCATATCTGTGTTGAATTTGAATTTTCTCTTCACCTTTTAGCAATTGCGGACCTGGATATTGCAGAAGTAGTAACATTTGGATCAACCAGAAAGAAAAATGGTTAAAATACCAATTTAGATATGTGAAATGGTGATTAGACCCGTTTAGTTTTTGTAATCATTCAAGACCATATCAACCACTGGACGGATGATTGTAAATACATAGTAATATGCTTTTTCTGTTGGGTGAACAGAATCCCAAAACACGTACTTTGATGCATCGTCACATACAGCTGAGTTCATGTTGCATAGCACCGCTGCTTCAATATATCCTGAACCACAACATCCTTCATTCACCTCTTGAAAACCTATCAAAAAGCTTTCAAAATAAGCCACTTGAATTTTAATTTTGTCGCACCACAACAAAAATCGAGTTTATAGGACGATAAAAAATTGTAACTGTCTTAATAGACTCTTTTATAGGACCAAAAAATGAAATGTTATATAAAAAGGCATTGCAATAAGTTTATAGGACACTTTTGGACGTATTAACAAGTTTTTTTAGGACACTTTTAATACAAAATGTCTCATTATGAATTTTATAGGATACTATTTAAAAAAATGTCCTATAAAAAGACGAGTTAAAAAGTGTCGTAAAAACCTTGTTAAGACGCCTAAAACGTCTTTAGATATGATGCTTTAATTTTTTGTCCTATAAATTAAGTTTTATAAAAGGGTCTCGTAGGATGCTTAAAAATTATTGGTGTCCTATGAAAGCAGTTTTGTTGTAGTGTCGTTCGAGAGTATTGTATACATATAAATAGATAGAAAGAGATGGAGAGTCGGCTAAAACACATGTAATTTTACACTAACCTCATGTGTGTAAAATCACAGGTACTTATGAGCAACTTTGGCCACAACCTAGGTCAAAAGCTAAGTCGTCTACACACCCGAGCGTCGATTATGCTCTGTAATCTTTGACCATGTTCCGTTTTGATCCTCCGTACATGTGTGTGCACGCATATATATACATACATACATACATATATGCATATTATAGTGCTAGGTTCAAAATTAAAAGACTATATATCATGAGAAGGCTCATATATGAATTAATTATAATGAGGATCTATGTTAGAGATTATTCATACGAGTCCATATATGAACATTTCCTTCTTACTTTCTCATAATATTTAATATCTTATTTGAACTGACTCATATACATAGGGGGTGATCAAATGAGAACAAAGTCAAATTAAGAAAACGGCTAAATCACGTGTGATTTGACATAAGATTACAAAACAGGGTCAACGCAAGGATGAGTGGGCGACCTGGCTCGCGACCTCAGGTCGTAGAGAAATTCGTGAAAATCACATGAAATTTTATACGTGATTTTAGTGTAAAATTACACGTGATTCAACAATCTTCGAATTCTCTCATTTGCCTATTGTTCTTGTATAACATTAATTATTTGTTTTTGCTGTGAAGGTTTGTTGTTTTTCGTATCTTTATCAATAAAGTCAAGCACGGGTGTAAAGATTTATTGGGTCATCCCATACTCCAAAAAAGCAAGGCAGGCGGTGAACTCTTTTATTTGGGAAGAAGGGGCCCTCCTCTTAGTCTTTCGGTGAGGAGTAGGTATATCTTGATTCCTTTTCCACTAAGTGATTGCTTAGGGACCTTAGGAGATTTCTTGTTTTGTCCCCAAATTAGGAGTAAGATCACAACCTATCATGCGTGAATAGCGGGAGGAAAGAAAGGGCGGTTGATTATATCCCAGGCTGGTAAGTAAGAAATGGAATGTCCAGCCTAGTCTAGAACAGTAAGAGCTCCAGCATTTCCTTGAGCCTTCCTACTTATAGATCTGGACTAACCTAGGTTGGGGCGAAAATTCTAAAACTAGGGTAATGGTAAGCACTACGAACCCTTGCCCAGTTAATCCGAGGAAGGCAAGATTTATTAGGAGGTGGGGCAACTACCTAGCCTTCTTATCCTCCTCCAATATAAACTCGGATCATGAGTAAGATAAGATCGAAGAGAATGAAACGCACGTTACCAAGAGGTTCTTTCTCTGACGTCAATTCGCCTGCCCGTATGGGAAGACTCTTGAACTGTATGAGTGATAGGAATGACAAGTGATGAAAGCAAGAAAGAGTAACTAAAAATGGGGCCTTGGGTCATGAACGAGGTTGGTCCCCCTAATCTTTCTAAGGAGCGAGAGCATGGGTTACTTTATTCGTATATAGATAGACAGATATATAATATGAATGAGAGGAGAGACGCAATGAAATTAGGATCATGTTTTATTGACCGTGAATGTTTGTTAGAATAACAAAATGGTTTGTTACAATGTATATCCTAATCGAGTATTTAATGGGACTTCAGGTTTATAACAACAAAAACCCATGTTCTATTTATGGTCGTCATTACAATATATAAGTTTTTTGAACGAAATTAGGTGACTTAACAAGTTCTATCTATGAATTTGGCAATCTAACAGGACATAAAAAGTGATTAAATCATCAATCACATTAGCCTTATAATTTGACATTTTTTAAACTGTCCTATAAACCAACAATTAATACGATACTTATCAAAATTTGACTATATAAAATAGTCAATAGGACGATTTAATTTTATATCCCGTTAGGTTGTCCAAATTAGTTGACATAACTTGTTAGACCCCCTAACTCCGTCCTACAATTTATTGTATCGCCTTTGAACATGATGCTGGTTTTTGATTCTATAAACATAAAGTCCGATTACCTACTTTATTAGGATGTAAAGCAATGGTCGAGCATCAAAGGTTGATCGATTTTATTGTAACATATGTTTGAACTTACCAAGTTTGGTTTTTCCGAACTGAATGAGGTCAAGAATAGGCTTGTATATATCTGCATAATACAGTTTGGTTTCGGAAGTTTGCATCGCCTTCAGTTTGCTTTCAAGAATTCGGTTGTATTCCGTGGCCACATATGACATGGGTTCGACACATTTGCGTCCATTAATCGCAACATCTTTGTTCAGAGTGATTACTTCTGGCAGGCAACCGATAGGAGGTAATCCTACCATCGCTATCTTCCGAGCACCTTCATTCATCAGTTTCTACACACACCGATCCAAAAATTTGTCAAAATGTAAAGCGACAATCTTTTCGCTACAAAAAAATTGGGTACTTATTATAGATTGGTTATAATGTTTAAATGGTCATAATACCATACTTTATACGAGTTATGTTTATAGAATAAAATTCTAAAACATTCAATCTAAAAGTGTTAAAATAGGCTTATAGAACGCTTTTTGACATTTTTAACAAGTTTTTTTTTTATAAATAAAGTGTCGTATTAGCTATTTTATATGACACATTTGAGAAGTATTATATAAACAAGCTTTTTATAGAACACTTCTTCAAATAGTATCATATAAAATAACTATAAGACATTCTATATAAAATAAATGCCATAAAAAACTTATTAAAAGGTCTAAAAACGTTTTATGAACTTATTGTAACATTTTTAGATATAACGTTTTTTTATTTGATCTTATAAACTTAAATACCATAAAGTATTCTAATTAAAAGGCATGATTGTCTTATAGGTTGTTGTAGTACTCATTCTATAGGCTTTATGTTAAATTTTGCTTTCATTTTATTTATGCAAATAAAAGAGTAATTTACATCTTAATCAAAATTAAATACACGTGGGCCAATGGAAGTGAAATATGTGGTGATCATCTACATCAAGAGATGCATGAATCTAGTGTTTAGTTTATTTATTTGTAAACTGGATATCCAACCCGTTATACGAGCTGATTAATTTCAGGACGACCATCTACTTTGCAGATAGTTCGAGTCATCGTATCTAAACCTCCATGGCCACAAAGGGGATTTTTATTTTTATTTTTATTTTTTATAGCTACCACCATTAAAGTTTTTTGTTTTTTTATGTTATTTTTGTAAAATCAGAATATAGGATATTGGGTTCGTTTTGATTTACGATTATAGCGTTTGATCTCTCATCGACCAAATTCATTCTTGATCCACTACAACATTCAATTAAAACCGTGAAAAATGTGTTACAAAATTCACGGATGACTTGCAACAAAACAAAATGATACAAACTGGACTAGAACGGAGACCCTTAAGTGGGAAGTTTTCACTTTTGTTAGAACGGATGAAAGTATCTTTATAATGTGTAAATATTACGTTATATTGTATTAAAAGCGTTCACATGTGGTTTGTGAAAGTTATGCCATACTGTGTAAATCTTGTAACATTCACACAGTATAAGCATACTTTTATAGTTTTTGTGACAAGCATACATACAGTATAAGACATCTCAACAAAAAAAAAAAAAAAAAGACTTGTCCTCACCGAAACTGGATCTAAAATACATAACTAATGGTTGTTGATCGACATGTTAGCATATGCCCATTCCCTATGCAATGAAAAAGACTTAATGTTATAAATGTGTAATTATTACTTACGTATTTTCATGATTAAATGACTACTTTACTTTAAATAGAGATGTAATGATGAATTTTTCTCATCTCGTAGTTAAGAGTATAACTAACGGCAGACGCTTAGATCCCGTTTAGTTTACGAGATTGGATTGCTTTTGGAGAAATTTGGAATTAAATTTCATCCTAGAAATTTTAAATCCCGGGATTTTATTGAAATCCCAAAAACATAGGGTTTTGAAATCCCAAGTGGGTAATTGACATTTCACAAGATTTCGTTGAATTTGTATGTAATAATGTTTTAAAATATGTTCTGTAATAACCAATTAATAAAAAAGATACGTATTTAATTGTTTTTATAAATTCAGATCCCATAAAATTATTCCATCAAACCAAACGCTCCATTAATTTCGACAGTTGTTATTTATATATTTTAAAATAAATAAAAATAAAATAAAATGCATATTCGAGTTGATATTGGGTGATAATAAGTTGTGTAGCATTTAAGTCATCGCTAACTATTAAGCATGCATACATGTCCCACCTTCCTTTAATAAGGTTTTTATGAGCTTTTCTATTCGGTTTCTCACCCGCATTTCAAAGTCAACACATTTAACCCGTTATGTAAGCCAATTAATTTTAGAACGATCACTTGTTTTGCGGGTGGTCTAAAGTCATTGCATTTGAACATTCGTGACCACAAGAAGATTTTTATTCGTTCTTAGGTTTGAACCTGGGACCTCTAGACACTTTTGACATTTGGAGTTCAAACTTAAACCAATGAGACACAATCTTTGTGGTTTAGATTAGCAATTTCAATCTAAGGGCAAAATAGTAATTCTACATTAGACAAACGTTCTTTCATGACACTTTGTTTTTTGACGGATTTGACAGCTAGAAATAGTCCCCTGTTTGGTAATGGTCTTAGTGTCACATAAATCTAATTTAAGCGTGACACCGGAGAAAGATTACTTTTTATTTTTCGTCCCATAAACAACTAAAAAAGGGTTAGATTTATTAACTATCAATATAATATGATAGGCCTTTTAAAATGTCCATTACTATATTAGTTGATTACCCTAACCCTAAGATCGTTTTATAAAGATTATGTTTGCTAAACTGGCTGATAAGTTAGTTAGCTGATGAACAAATTATGTTTGGCAAAAACTAGCGGATAAGATGTAAAATAACCAAGAAGAACATCTTGAAAAATTAATTAATTATAATATTTTGAAATATAACTGAAATAAATCTCAAATAATGTAACATATAAACTAATACAAACAAGATGGTATAGAAAAATTAAAAAAATAAAATATATTGATTAAAAAAATTT